CTTTACGGCCTTCGTGGATATGCAGATATGAATTTAAACGGGACGTTCGTATAAGGGCCATCCGAGCCACCTGCGACTGATGTCTGAAGCCAATGAATGTAACAACGCATGTGAGATATTGGACATCTTTAAGATATGAAAAAACGCAGCTGATGGTTCTGTAAGTAAACTGGTCCTACACTTTCCTATTTTATTCTGCTTTTACATAATTTTCCTCTAAAGTCTATTATTTACGTTAAGTTTGGAATGGCATCACATTTAGTAACAGAATAAATCCTAAATTCCTGTCCTCTGTCGCATTAACTCTCGTCAAACTAGGAAATGTTATTGTTTTAAGTTTATTACAGTTTGCGACGTTGACAAAATAACTTATATAAAATCATTATAATTATTAATCGATCGACAGTTGATAGGTACTTGACGTTTTCTTTATTTTCGATGAGAACTTGGGATTTTTATGTATCGGATTCGAATACTGAAACCTTTATCGTGTTGTGCTTAGGAAATGGTAGGGAAACTATTATGAAAAGGAATATGAAAATGAGAGACGTAATAAACATAAGCTGTGTAATCGTGCAATTATGAAATGTGTTTTAAATATTATTAAGAATATTCAAATTTTATGTTAAAATTATTAAGTTCAGATTCAAATAACAGGTTCTATAATTAGAATTTAATTCAATTTAAAGATTATTAGTGCAGTAGAGTGAGCTGTTCTTGCTTGTAATCTAGATATTCGAGAAAAACTAATTTTCTTTAACGTATATCCACAAACTCGGGTGTATTACAAAGCATCAGACAAGCTTATCATTCTGATTGTGATTGCAATTTTATCCTGGAGGCAATCATCAAAACACGGAGAAGGGTTTTTAATTCTCCGCAAAAATGGAAATTTTTTATGGCCTGTATTGTCTTGCTTTCTCCGAGTAAAATAGATAAAAGGGAACGATACAATGAGTCAGTTGAAAATCCAGGTTTTCGTTTATTAAAAGTAATATTAAATTTAAATTAAATTTTTATACTAAGTGCCTGGCATCATAATAAGTCCCGCAGTCTATTGTGATCTATAAAAATACAGTTCTTTGAAATATTTATACCACAACGCTATTTTAATTGCTTGCAAACTGCTTTTGTAAATTTTTGTAGAAGAAATAGGTAATAATATTGATAGTTCTTTATAGTGATGTATTGTATGCGCAACATTAACCAAAATTACCTTGTTAGTAAAGAGTAACGTGTTAAATAAGTAAATTCCATATGCTTTTAATTAATAAAATAGTAGTAGTTAACAAATTAGTGAAAATAGTTTCGCTTGAGATTACGTGACGAGTAGGTACTTCTATTGCAAGTTCCTAATAAATATTTAGGGATCGATGCACAGCGACAATTTTACCAGGGTATTTTATCATTAACAACTTTTACGGAGGAATGCTACAGAGGCGTTTCTTTGAAAGAAAAACAAGAAAAAACGCGGCCGGCGCTATACATAAACCGTTTAATTGGAGCGATGTTAACAAACATTATACACTTTTTTAGTATTTACCTTAACACAAATTTCAGAAAACAAACATTTAAAATTATTATAAATTCTATAAACCTGTACGACTTTTTATCTATTAATTCAGTAAAACTTGATGTGACACAAACTTCATAGTTTTTCATCAAATTTTAATACAATTTAATTTTTATGCTAAAATGACAAAATCCAATTTGTTTTATTTTTCGAAGTTGTTTTAGAAGATCTAAAGGCGAATATAGAAAGAACAATAATCAATATTTAAACATAACAAAATTTATGATCCGGGAATTAATTCAATTTAAATTTTACAGATATCCACATATATTAGCACATATTTATGGTTTCGATAGCGATATCCGTGAATTGACAAACATCGCTGTGTTTATCATCAAACCCGAGTGACGTTATTTTAATATTTATGCCCACCTTCAATATTCTCCACTATCAAGTTAAACATATGCCTATTGTGTGTAACGGAGTAATTCACCAACTTCCTCGCAAATCCACGTTATTTAAAATTCACGTTTTCTCTCCTGAGAAATTACTACCCCCGCAAAAAAATAAGGCCCGACATGAATAAAATCGTAGCTATTGACCTTCCCGGAAAGGATCGTTGCATAATAGAAAAATCCATCTCTATTATTCCGGGAAAATAAAAATAAGAATGCAATCAGACGGAATGATCTCGCCGTCTTATAGGACTAAAGTGCATGAGATATTCATGTAGGCGCATTGAATTGTAAAAGATTAGGGGGCGAACACTCGACCCTGTTACATATGTATTGTTGCTGAATTGAATGTTTACACGAACAAGCTCTCGCCTCTCCGTATGCAATAATGAATTTGTAAGGAAAGTGCCGGGTCGTTGATTGTTTCATTACTTCTGTTTCGTTCAATCCCAACCACCATTTGGCGGTTTGGTGATACATGGACTTTGAAAACATTTATTTACTAGACATACAGAGGTTTCAAGCCACGTGACCGCCAAGCTTAGACAACCACCGTTGCACAATTGGGACTGTCAACTAAAAAGACCTTTAATATTGGTGTTATCAATATTCATGATTCGTTTACAATGAATAATGACAAACCGTTACGTCTACGTGCGAGATAAATTAATATAACAGATCGCCCTATTTTCTTTAATAATAATACGAAAAGTGATAAACAAAAGAATGAAGGAAGTAATAATTAAAAAAGTTTAAAATATTTCGTTGCCCTGTGACTGGTTTCTAAATTATACACATCAGTATTATTTGAGGCGCAAAATAACTCTAATTGGGAATACATAATTTAATATAGCTTTCAACAAGACCGAGGTAATAATAATACTTGTAACAGAGTTTGCTCTTTTCAGACCTAAAGTCATTGTTTTATTTCCCAAGGAGTCTCCTGCCTGAATAAACGTTTGAGAAAATTCAAGATGATAATGTAATTACGTATTCCTGAATCAGACCCCACTGAAACTCGCCACAAAAGTGGAAAGGAATTTACACATTTATAATTAGGCGTTATTGCTGCCTTACTTCTTACAGAGTAGGTACACATAAAAATAAATGGAGATTTAGATACTGATACAAACATTATTCATCTATTTATTAAAAATGTTGGGGGCCTATGCCTTTATTAATTTAATCAAATATATTAAGGAATATAAATATTTACTCGTATTGTAGGAAGAGTAAATTTGACGAGGAAAAAAACTTTGTCAGTCTCAAAGTTTATATAATTTTAAAAATAATAAAAATTGTCATCAGCTTTGAGTCAAACACAAAGTTCTTGGTATGAAGGTAGGGAATAAAAAGGGGCATTATGGGGAAATAGTAGAGTAAACTTAAATAGAACACTTTCAATACAATTATCTGTATAAATTATAGTCAGCAGTGCTGCAACTGTGAAAACTTTTATTAAATTTTTCTACGGTATACCTACCTTCTTGTGAAATAATCAAAATTATTTTAGTTAAAAATTAAATAGTTACTCCTAGAATTTATGCCTTCTTCAAGAATTTGTGCAGTTTATTAAGTGACATATACTTACAATTAATAGGTATATATAAGTGTTTTTGTGCATTTTCCGAATTTTACGATATCCCTGGAAAGCAAAATAAATTCGTCACTTTTATCAGTCGCTTAAGGCAAGAAATCGAATTACTTCGCCAGCCATTACCATTCTTACGAAATTAACTCGTTTGAAGTTGAGGCGGTGNTAATGTATATAGTTAAATAATAAAAGTACCTACTATTTCCCATAATATGGTTAAATAAATTTTTTTGTAGCTACACCTAAGTTTGTGTGTGGTTAGGATTTTTAGAATGTGAATTCTATTAGGTACCTTATATTTTAAGGAGTTAATGAAAATATTTTATTATTAATGTAGATATCTATTAATATTTTGTTTATAGATTTTTTCCACGTAAATAATTCTACATAATCATTGTGGTCCTCCATTATGTGAAAAAAACTGGGATTGTTGTAATTATGTAGACTTTAAAATTCTTTATTGATACTTTCAAAAAATACTGAAGATCTGAACTTAACATGCGTAGTAAAAGTTATTTGTTACAAATGTGATTTTTATGTAACTGTAATTAATGTAATCATTATTTAAATAAATTGCATATGTTTAATAATTTGATTTATGTATATGATGTACATTTTTTTCAGTGTCCCAAGACAATATCTAGAAAATTTACAAAACATTTACAAAAGCTTTTAAAAACCAACTGTAACTGCGATAGCAAGTTTATCGTAGAATATCTATGAAATTTTGTGTTTTTGAATATATTTAACTAAACTAGAGTAAACTTAAATACAACACTTTCAATACAATTATCTGTATAAATTATAGTCAGCAGTGCTGCAACTGTGAAAACTTTTATTAAATTTTTCTACGGTATACCTACCTTCTTGTGAAATAATCAAAATTATTTTAGTTAAAAATTAAATAGTTACTCCTAGAATTTATGGCTTCTTCAAGAATTTGTGCAGTTTATTAAGTGACATATACTTACAATTAATAGGTATATATAAGTGTTTTTGTGCATTTTCCGAATTTTACGATATCCCTGGAAAGCAAAATAAATTCGTCACTTTTATCAGTCGCTTAAGGCAAGAAATCGAATTACTTCGCCAGCCATTACCATTCTTACGAAATTAACTCGTTTGAAGTTGAGGCGGTGGCAGCAGCGGCTCACAGGAATTATGTATGCCGCGTTCGCGCTGCCACGAATTATATATTCAAACATTATCCGACACCAAAAAAGGAAAAGAATTCGGTAGGAAGTTGCACAATCAAAAACTGGGCCCGTAATTTCCCACAGGTAGCAAAAATCAAATGTCGGGCGAAACGCATCAACGTCAACCGCAGGCATGCCTCTCCCCCCCCTCCCTCCAATCACCCGCTAACTCTTGCGGTGCACACTCGAGTAGGATGGCGCGTCTACGGCGTCTCCGGCGTCGGCACATGGTTCGCGGACGTTGTTCGGTACGAATCGTCGCCACGCCGGCCGAGACCCGCGCGCCTCGTACGCGCTTTCCGCAAGAAGCTTTTAGCGCCATCCGATTGTTGCCCCCAAACTTTGCCGTGCTCGCTGCAGTCCAGGTTGGTTGAAATTTGACTGATCGGAATGACACACACGCTTTTCGCTCTGTATTCATTTCTAACACTTTCCAGGAAACTGTAAGTAGGTACCGTTGTTTGTTTAAAAGTTCTCGCACCAGAGTATAATTTTCTGATTATGTTTATAAATTATTCAAAGGACACTCCGCAAAATTAGTACAATTATTTAAAAGTGCAATAATAATTACTATCATTTATGTATTTAAATCTATATTCATATATTTGCAAATAGTTAGGTACCTGTATACTTTTGCTTTACTATAATTGAATTTAAATATCTTTTTATCAAAATTGGATAGATTTAGAGATATACACATGGGTCGTGTCGGAAAAAGCTTAGCCCTGCAAAGGTCTTAAGAAAATAAAACATTTTTATGAAAATGATCTACATACAATGTAACTGAATTGATTTTTTTCATTATTTTATTTACTTCATAATTTTTTTATCTTTCGTATCACTTTATGTAGGGTAGCAATAAAATTTTTGAGTAAATTTTAATAACCAATTACGTATACGTCATGAATTAACAAAAAGATAATGTAATTTTTTTAACTATCACTATGCCTATTGACTTTCTAATGATAAATAACTTATACGTATATTTTATTTAAACTACCCTCTTGGCCTTCTTAAAATAAATCGTTTGTGGATATATTTATTGTATACGACATAATTCGCTATTAGATTTTGAGTTTGTTTCACCCTGTACAATAAAAATCTTGTGTAGTACAAATTTCCAGTGACAAAAATGATCAATAAATATTTTCCACATACCAAAATTAAATACAAAAAGAAGTGACAAAAATTAATAGAGAATGAGGCTGTGTATGTTTAAAACAAGAAAAATATGTTTACTTTGAAAAAAATAGATTTATTTTATCCAAATGTAGGAAGCATCATAATAAAAATGTCACAAATGATATTATTCTATACATAGAATATTATACATATACATAACAACATTTATTTATGATAATAAATCAAAATTATTAAATTGAGAGCGACTAATAAACCTCTTTAAGAGGAAGAATAAAGTGAAATTGCAATTTATAAAAACATATGCCAATCGGGTAGTTTTACAAAATACCTAATAAAAATAAATAGATACTAGGGGAATGTGTTTTCCAAGTATTTGCAAGTTTAAATTGTAACTAAATGTATTTAAAAGTTTAAGTAAGGTTCTTGTCGATCTTTCTATATTTCTGTATCTAAAAGTACTTTTAAAATGTTTATTTATTTCTACATATATTTCGATATATAAGACAATAATTTGCCTTCCTTTTTGTATCGCATTGAAACAAACTAAATAATAATGTAAACGTACCTGTTATGAAATACATAATGTATTTTAGTATTTTTATTATTGTTTTTTTAATTACAATTTTTTTCAGTATCAGCTTTTATAGTATTACTTTATTAAAGAATATGATAAATAATAACGTTTTTTTTTTAATATTCACCCTACATATGTATATTTAACAGAAATGTTTCAATCGTAAAAATATACATAATGTCCACATCAGTTCATTTGTTTTAATTTTTACATTTAGAAAAAATTTTGATAAAACCGGGAACAGTTGAAGTTGTCTCTCGGTTGCGGCCTTTTTGGTATGAATTATACTCTAGAGTAATTAAATATGCCATATATCTTTTGCAAGTATAGACACGTCGTCGGCGTAGAATTTCACATACCATCCCTTAACCGCCTAAGGAATCCCAAGTGCAAACTGTATTTTTTTACCGTTGTACAGGTACCTACTAGTCATTTGAAACATTACCAATTCAAAAAATAAATAATTGGAATAAAAGAAATTTCTGGCACATACCTATATACATATTTACTTTAAGATGGACGATCTTCGATTCCGGATTTTGGGAATACGTAAGACCAGATATTATTTGTATACATTTTACTTTCACGGCAGATTTTCAAGGAATATGAAATGAATATAAAGTGAAACCATTCCGAAAAGAAAACAAAATTATTCACTAGGTAGAAATGAATTTATAATGAAAAATACAGCTCCAGAAAGCCAAGAAACCTGATAAGGCCTGGGGTTATGTGCAGAATCTAAATTAAACCTGCAGTGATATTTGTGGTCAGATATTTCTACTAAAAGCAATGTTTGAAATAAAATAGCCATCAAATAACGAACATTTCATATTAATTCAACAAATAATAAAATTATTTAACAATGAGAACCGATCAATAATCTATAATTATTGATGACTACTATTTTAGGACTTTTTCGGCGATTCGGCATTCAGAGAAAAATACTGAGTGATGAAAAAATACAAGCCATTCGTTCGTGTCGTCTACAGGAGAAGTGTTTAAGCATAATTGAAGATGCTCACATACGCTATAACGGGGATCGTGTTACAAGTTATACTGCTGAGTCCATCAGGTGAGTTCCTATTAAAAAATATATATATTTCCAGACATTAATTTAACATATGTACATAAATATATTAACCACTATTATTACTTTTACTAGATTATAGAACTAATTGTAAGCTTCAAAAACGCATAGTTAAAATGTAGTTATTTTTGTATTATGAAATATTCAGTACTTAAATAAATATAAATTTTATGCCAATTTCTCGATATAAAACATGAAAATGCTCTTAAGAGCGGCGTGTTCACTAAGGTTCACTTAATTTTTTTAATATTCATGCAGTTTCCATTAATTTCCGCTCAATTAATTGTTTGGGTATCAGAAAACTCTTTGAATTATTTGCCAAAACTGCAAAGACCTTTTCGATCGAGAAAAAAAGGAATCTATTTCGTTTTTTATAATTATGTACATTCATATTTATTATATTTACACGTCTCCTTATTATACTTAATTTTTACGTGTAGTTTAACCTTACACCTTGATCATCAATATTCACCCTTGTCATAAGAGTTTATCTCTGCTTGCTCTAGAAGTGCAGAATCTTACAGCAAAGATCGTGAATACAGGTTTATATTATTTATACTTGTTCAGAATTCGAGTAAACTGAAAATTTAATAACCTTAAAATAATAAATAAATAAATGCTAAGCTGTTTGCAGATAAAAGGCTGCTAATGAAATTTTAAAATCTGGTTTACATCTTCCCAAGTCAAATACATTTAGAATTCATTTTTTCCCTTTTATTTTGTTTTGTTGACCTGGTCAGGGTAACATTCAACTTTTGTTATTTTTTCATACACTTTCATCCTCCATATGAAATATACTTATCATTTTTCAGTCTGACTCGAGATGCTATCGACTTTCAGGGACTCAATATTTGTATAAATGATTGAAGACCTCTCTATCGACCTTTCCCACCTTATGTTTCACTTATCTTTCGAGCTGTGTCACCACTACCAAAGGAAACAAATATAAGATTTTTATTCATTTTAAAAATGAACTTCAGGGGGGACGCCAAGGGTTTAACATATTAATTTAATTTCGTCAATGCGGAGAAAAAGATTACCTAATTTAAAACATGGTAAAAAAACAGACTTCGCCCCACCTCCAGCTAAACTGAGCATCAACGAATCCAGGGAAAGAAAGCAATATGTATCTTATGCAAATCTCCTTGTAGTTGTACCAGAACACGTCAACTTGGAGAGACATAGTATTAGTGGTACATTATTGTTAATGCTGGCTCTTAGAAATTTATGTATATAATACCCTGTCTTTCTGGGAATAAGAATACTTATCTAAATAAATCTCTTGAACATTTTTCTGATAAACGTAGCACACTTACTTGGGGAAATAGAAAATTTAAATACTACTACTACTATTATAGGGGCAAAGCTCAAAATATTTATAAAAAGTGTTGTTTCAAACATCGACATGTTTGAACACAGTTTTAATTTATAAATATTCTAATGTACACATAGATAATATTTGTTCGACGGTTAGGTACGTTGTTATTTTGATAAGATTTAAATCATTTTTAAATTCATGGATCTCACAATTGTATCTAGTTCTACTTTTGGTTTTTGAAATGCCTATACGAATATTCCATTAAATTTTTACTTGTCGAAACACATATTCTACATACGGGACTGGATGAATCTATTTCAGTACCTACCAACTGATGACAGGGCAATTATCTCATGTAGAAATTTAACGAGGTAAATTATTGAGGTATACTGGTATCTACTACAAGCTCTTCCGATCGATAACCTTTATGAACTAATAAATGGAAATTAGTATGATACTCACTTCTTAATATCATTATAAGTCGACTCTATTCAATATACACCTAATCGGTAACGGTCGTGTAGGTAGTGTATATAATTTAAAACTTGCATTTAATAAAAATTTTCCTAAATACACCATAGTACATTAAAGCTAATTTAATAAGAGTATAATTTTTTAATGTATTATGGTGTCTAAAATGCAGTAGAAAACAGAATACATTATTCAAAAGTCGGTGGCCAGTGGAGGGCGGTTTCGGAGCATAATGGGAGTCTGATTTTCCACAGTCTAAGTTAAAAATGGTGTCTCTTTATTGGCATATCCACAGAACAGGATATTCCATTGCAACAAGTAGAACTGTGGCCTTTATGTAATATATTATTCTTTGTCAACTAGATTACGTTTTGCGTTTTGCGTCATTTCCCGGGCGAAGTTCTACATTGAATAATTACACATTCATTCGTCTAGGATTAACTTAGCTACCGTACCAGCGAAGCTTATATAATTAATTAGTATTAAAAACTCCCCACGTTGAGCCGTTTTTACTTTTGAAACAATTACACTGGAGTAGATAATTACTCTATTAGGCGTAATAAACTGGAAGTAATTATTTGTATGGTCGCGATAAGCGTCTCCCTAAACTTATTGTTTTATTCTAATATATAAATTTACTCAATAATAAGATGCCGTGCAGCAGTGTTGCCAGATCTAAGTATAATAATTACTATCGTTTTTGTATTATAAAGCTACTTGTGTACGATATGCGATAATATCAAAAAATACTAATTTGTAAGTATTCTTTTCTAAATTTTGTTGAACGAAACACGTACAGATATATTTCTATAGAAGCCAATACGCAATTAAACATATTTCCGTGAGAGAGGAACCTCTTATGTTATTAATTCATGGAGCGCCTTGTTCGGCTACAGCAACGTGACAGATTTGCTATAAAAACAGTAATCTTACAGCAATTACCATACAATGAATTGTTTACTCACATCAAAGCAGCTAGTTCGGGATCAATTACCACGACGACATTAATCAAACAGAATAAACACGTTTCAAGTTGATAGTAATTCCGACAGAGAGAAACGCGAAAGAAACATGTATTTTTCTATAAGAAATAACCTTTGCGAAACAACCTGATTCAGTTAGTGTGTTCACCATAAGATAAATTAAACACAAATGCACAGAAAATGTATAGGTATGTATATTAATGCTTGTAACATTAACTGTTTTTAAAATGCGAAATGCGTGGAGTTGAATTATTCGCGAATTTTTTTCACAACTCGGCAACAATGCGTATTGAATGATTTGACCTGTTGATGGCTGACTAAAAAGCGCAGACTTTTTTATAGCGAATCACAAAAAAATCGAAGAACGGATAATTAATTGTTGTGAAAATTCATGCATTTAGAAAATTTATAAAGACAATAAATTGTTGAATTGGAATACGTTGCATCTAAATTACCCATTCAAACACCGATCTCCATTTTACAGCCTAAATAATTCTGCTGCGTAAGGGTAAAACTAGGAACAACGAGCAGTCAGACCACGACTATAATCGACATCATGAAGTTATTTTATTACGGGCGGGTTTATTTATGACGTTTGTAATGTCAGTTATGGAAACATTCATCTCGACAGCGGTGCGTACCTGTGATACTACACCACCGCACCGGTTCAATCCGTTTTATGTCGCCGAAATATTGAAAAATATTGTTATCCTGGCATACCGGCAAGGAATTCGAATAAATCTGTGCGATGACATTCCTTGGTGTCCTTGGTTAGATCGCAAACGGATGATACGGAAACAATTCCCATTTCCACAGGAACGGTTCCAAAAGAACGGTTCCCGAGGAACGGTGCCAAAGAACGGTTCCTGAGGAACGGTTCCGGAGGGACCGGTACCTGAGGAGCGGTTCCGAAGGAACGGCTCCGATGGAACGGTTCCGGAGGAGCGGTTCCGGAGGAACGGTTCCAAAGGAACGGTTCCTGAGGAGCGGTTCCAAAGTAATTTTACCAATTACCTTGTTTTTGATTAATCCGCATATTTTATTTATACCGTACAGAGAATAATTCTACAAATTGCTACAGTGTGCTCTGAAAAACAATTGTTACTTGTGAGGTGACCTGACAGTTATGTATGTCTTCTTTAAACAATAATTGTATCTATTTTTCAAAGTTTATTGGTATTTCAAATTTTGAAGTATTATTATGGTTATAAACAACAAAATTCTTTCTGAAATGTTTTTAATGTGTCTATATTTATATAAAAAATGTAGGGTGTTTATTCTTCTTAAAAAAAAAAACGTTATTTTTTAAATTATTTTTATATTTGTTGTGAACCGAGAATAACCTAATTTAGAAAATGCACTAACTCGCCTCAAGAATTCAATCAGACTCATAAATTGTTGTCCCTGGAAGCTAACCGAATGTTTCGATGTGGTATAAAATTGATCAATTGAACTTTATAAAAACGTATCAGCGCCGAGAAAAAACGATAAGGTGGCGTTTGGCCCCTGAATTGATGGGTGTAAATCACCGGTTAGCACCGTGCGGCCGTCATTACATTACAAATGACCACAATCTATCTGAGTTCGTCTTCCGTTTGCTTCTCCTGCAACAAATTTCAGCCGATATCGGGGTAACCTGCTCCCCGACGAGCGTGCCTCTCCGTTCGCAGGGGCGGACTTTTTCGTTTCTTCTTATTTATTCTGTTTATTAGCTACATGTGTAATTAATTTGAGTACACGTTTTACGTTAAATAGGTCACCAAATAAAGAAAATTCTTTCCTGGAAAATCCATGTCCATTAATTGTAGAAAAAGTTTTTAAGTAATCATTAACAACGTGTAGGAACTTATATATCTACTAAATAAATATACCCAGCGAATGTATTTCCAGGAAACAAATATGTGTAATGTATAAAAAAGTAGTAAAATGTAAAAATAGTAATTTCGGCATTAATGGACAAATTAATCATAATTAAACCGTTTCTTCTAACGTTTACTGTGGTGTATCATATAAATTATTAACAAGAAAACTACAAGACCAAAAAAATGACAAAATTACCTTGTCTATTAATGTTAGGCGGTGCCAATAAAAAGGACATTTATTATTAACGAAAATATTATTCTGATTAATGTCCTTTATTGTCTGCTTTATATTTAATAAATGAACGAAAAAGTATACAATAAATCACAACTCAAATGTCACTTCTGACATCT